ATGAGTTCAGTTCCCGGTACCGGAGAAAAACCAAAAAAAAAAAAAAAAAAAAAAAAAGAGAGAACAAATGCCAGAGACAGACATGAGAAGGAAAAGTTTCATTAAAAAAAAAAAAAACCTCCTGACTAGTTTCCAAATCTTACTGTATTTTTACAAGTGTAGCAAAACTAAAACTTGTTATGCTAATTCCTGATAAATGTGCATTATCAGAAAGTGACTCAGGCTCCAAACAAAACTCTTTACATTTACCCGAAGAGCATCCCTCACATGTTCCCCTCTCTCTCCCTGAGCCAGCAAATAGATAATTCAATCTCTGCTTAGCCTGGAGAGAGAGAATCTATTCAAAAAGGCACTAAGGTGAAGGAGAGGTGGATAGCTAACAGATTTATATAGCCACACAAAATTTTAAAAATCAGTAAGGACGTCAGCCGGGCATTTCTGCCTGGTGGAGTGTGAGTCTCTGGTAGACTGCTCTCAACGCCTGACTTCTAGCACTGCTGGTGACCACACAGTGGTCCTGCTAACAAGTTTTCCCCTGATGACTGTCATCAAATCAAACCGTGTGCTGGCAGTGACTAACGGCCAGGGAGTGAGGGTGCCCCTTTTTAAAGACTCAGATTGCATTTTAGACTGACATATACAAAACTAAGTGAACCAAACAAGTTATTCAGAGTCTAATTACTTTGCCTATAAAACAGGGATGAGGATTCTATAGCAAAGAGATTCTTAAGTACTCAAAAATGGAAAGTAATAGGCAAATTCCAAGTTATTAAGTACCTCCCCAACTTCTGGCGATGCAAATTTGCTGTTACAGATGCCAGATACTTTCAATGGAATGTGGCATCAAAGTAAGGCACCATGAAGGATTTCCTTCACAGCCCCCTTGGTGATTCAGATATAACTTTACATAAAGTACATATATGTTATTTGTCCCTGATCCACTGTCCTCCCTGAGGCTGGGGCCACAGATGTCAAGATCTTCCCTTACTCAGTTATTGGTCTCTGAAAGGGTCACTTATTCCTCAAGGCATCTACGGCTCTGAACTGTTTGCACCACAGGCTCCGAATCGGAGACACACTGGCAGTGCAGCAGTAATGCCTCCAGAGACAGAGAAAGAGTTGGATTTAACTAACAAGTAGTAAACTGTAGAGACCAAGAGACACTGCTGCAAAAATTGAAGCAAAAACCTAAGAAATCACATGTACTTCAACAAAAATGTAAGAACTTACGAAGTGTGTATCATCACGATCCTCAACACAAAGCATAATCAAATCTATTAGAAAATATTACGTAGGTAAAGTTGAAAATGAAGAGTGACTTAAATATTCTTAAGACTGGGATTACAGTAAGCACCCGACTTACAAACATTCAAGTTGCGAACTTTCACAGATACAAACAGACCTGGCCTTTTGATCATTTGTAGATGTGAACAAATCTCCCAAGTAGCTCTCATGTCTGCCGGGCATCGTCAGTCGTGCTGCTGTGTGCTCACCGTACAGTGCAATAGGGTACAGCAGCTCGCGCTCAGAGCACAGATGTCTGGGTGCAAGGGGAAAAGCAGGGGTGCTCTGCAGGCACACTAGGAAGCACAGGCAGTGTATACTGCATATCTGTGTCAAAGACTCACTTTGTTGGACTTAAAAACAAATCCAACTTACAAATGTTCCCCTGGAACAGAACTCGTTTCTAAGTCAGGGACTTAATGTACTGTTTTTAAAAATCATAATCACAAAATAAACTTAATCCATCACACTGCTTAAGTACAGAAAAGTACATGAGGTTTTAGCAAGTAACTGCTCCAATGATCTCTGAAGAGAATACACTTCAATGACAGGCAAGAGACAAGAGGTAGACATCCGCAGAACGTGCACGATCGACCCACTGCTTCATCTCTAGTCTTCAGGAGGAAGGTTTTGTAACAGGATACGTTTCTGCTCATCCACTGTCAGAACACACATGCTACTGACAGTAAAGACAATCATCCTGTGATTACATGTCTGTCACAATGTAATTTTTAGTAACTTAAAAATTAAGTTCATAATCAACAATAAAGTTTATCATTTATTGAAGTAAAAATTAATGCCAGTATGACATTTCTTAAACATTTAATATTTTTGACATTTTCCAAATCACATAAAGATATACTTTAAAAAAACTAACAATCTCTTTCTTTTTGGTGAGTAAGGATAGGACATATTTGCTTAGATTTCTACAGTTACAGTTTTCTTTTTTTGTTTGTTTTTTTTCTGGTACTGGGAATTGAACTCATGACCTTGCGCTTGCCAGGCAGGCGCTGCGCCACTGAGCTAAATCCCAAGCCCCATACAGTTACAGTTTTCTGATGGGGCTGTTATCATGCTTACAAAACACCTGTGTACCACTTTTCTCATTAAAAAAGAAAGCACTGTTCTTTCATAGACATATTTAGCTCTTGGACATTTTCAGTATTTCTTTGAAATTTAAAAACACTGGACTAGGGCCAGGGATACAGCTCAATGGTGCAGCGCCTACCTGGCAAGCATGAGGTCAATTCCTAGTGCCAAAAATAAATAAATAAAAGTAAAAAAATAAAAACACTGGTCTATAGCCAGGTGTAGTAGCGCCCACCTGTTATCCCAGCACTAAGGAGGCTGAGGCAAGAGGACTGTTACAAGTTTGAGGCCAGCCTGGACTGCATAGTGAATACAAGGCCAGCCTGAACTACATAACGAGACTCTGTCTCAAATAAATAAAAAAAAATAAAAAATTTTTAAAAATTAAAAATATTGGACAAAAAATGTGTATCAACTTTAGTTATGATCAGCTTGACAAAGCTACCTTTAGTTAAATCCTTTTACAAGTACAGTGATAAATTTTCTAAGGAAGGTTTTTTGGTCCCACAACACAGTTCTAATAGTGTTCTCAGGAACAGTTATGGCTCCTTACATGTAACTAACACATAATTATAACAGCTTTTATTAAATCAGAAGTATGAGTTCCAAAAGGAAAAACAAAGAAGAAAACTACCAATAAAACAGATTTCAATCCTACCTGTCCAAAATACAATAAAATGTGCCCTGCAAGCCACCCAGGGTAGAAGGAAAAAAGATACCCATGTGGCAATGCATCATCAGCTCCAACATGAGAGATCCTAGACTATGCCAAAGGAAAACTGTCCTGGAATCTTGCCAGCCAGAACACTGAACTCTCTTTACAACTACAACAAACGAATACCTGCTATTCCCTTCCAAGATAGTGCAAGGCTAAAAGTGCTCCATATAATTAATTAGAATGCTCCTGATTTCTAAAAACTGGCCACATACACACACACACACACACACACACACACACACACACACACCTATATATACACACACACATACATATACACACACACGTGTCTGTGTGCGCGTGTGTGTATATATACACACACCCTAAAAGATAGCTCTTAATTTTTTTTTTTTTTTCGTTTTTCTCCCGTACCGGGAACTGAACTCACAACCTTGCGCTTGCCAGGCTGGCGCTTTGCCACTGGATAGCTCTTAATTTTGATCATTTAAAATGCTACAGCCTATTGTCACAGGCAGACAAGTCCACATTGGCACAAGCCTCCAGGTGGACACTGGCCCTGCTAGTGTCAGAAATGAAAAAGGGAAGAGGAAGGAAGGGAGATAGTAGCTGGCGCTGCACAGACCACCCAGAAGAAATGGACAGTCCTCACTGTGTCCCTCAAGGACCTCTGTTCCTGCTTCCAATCCTAACTCCTTCTGCAATGTGCTGGAAAGAGAAGCTGCAGCCGGAAGTAACAGGCTGTGACGACCAGGAATGCTTAACACGAGAGGTTTTAACTTTAAATTTCAGGGTACAAGTCTCATGAGAGTAAAACAAGACAGTGAACATTGAAATCACCAGCTTGTTCCAGGTATGAAGACCTATTTTACTTTAGGAAGACACTTAAAATGCATCTCTATCATTTTTAAAGGGGAAAGGCAGGATGTAAATCACAGTAAATGTCAAACTTACAATTCTTATAGCAAGGTTGCCTGAAGGGTTTTCCTTTTGAAAAAACAACTGCCACTGTGAGGTACTGGAAGCTGGAGATAAAAAACACTGTGGTATTTTCATAATTTTTAATTTTATCAGGATCAGTTTCATTGCATGAGTGTGAAGAATTCCAGTACAGGCTTCCTGTTGTATTACAAGCACTAGAGCACACAAAAAAATTTTGCCATTAGAAAACATAATGTCCATTCCCAAAAGAAATCAAGAGGAAAAGGTCCAACAATATTAATATTAGATACACAGAAAAGATGCAAGAATACTAAAGGGTTTCTCTTAGCCTGACATTACAATCAGATAAAAAAAAAAAATCAGAAGAAATATTTAATAAATCCTCAATTTTTAAATATTGGAGCGAACAGACCAGGGTTCGACATCAGCTCTACCACATTTTAGTGGTAACACGGAAGGCTGACTTCATCTCTTCCAGCCTGCTCCCTCCCCTGTCAGACCACCTGCTCCTCACAGGCTTCCACGGGGCCTGAGTAGGAAGCCTTATACTGGACATGTGCCCAAGAGGGCATGGCACAAGGACAGCCCTCAATGTTCTCTAGCCTGGCTGGCCCTCCTTTCCACGTCCGGGGGCAGCGCTGGCCAACACACACAGAAGCAAATATGCAAACTTCACACCACTCTTACTCAAACAGCCACTGCAGCAAGCACAGGTAAGCGGTGACAACATGGTAAACTGCTATGCTGAGCTCTCAGAATCTCCAAAGTAATTCCACCTGCCCCCATCCCTGCAGGGCCTCCCACATGCCAGGGAAACATTCTAACCACTGAGCAACCCTCAGCCCTATTCCTCCCTGTCAATGGGTTAGAAAATAACAACATTACCATTTTTAAAAACAATGTCAATCAAGCAAACTAAAAATACACCTGAAAATTTAATTTAACAAAATTATTCAAGTTTAATTAAAATGCTACCATAATTTGTGAACCGTAGAGTACAAATAAGTAAATAGGTGCATTTCATACCACGTTTTAAAAATGTTTTAAAATGCCATTTCCTGAATTGGGGTAGACAAGTCAGAAGTGCAAAGACTGGGTTTAAAAGATTTCAACTTTCTTATTTCACAGATAGGAAATGCAAGTCTATCCCCTCCAAACTTCATGCTGAAACCGTACCACTGTGAGAAGTGAAGAGAAAAGGCCTGGGGGGACAGGGCTCTGCCCTCATTGATGAAACGATCCACTCAAGCAACCCATCGGTTCACAGGTTCTCCTGAGTGGGGTCTGTTATGAAAGCCAACCTGGCCAGGTCTCCTTCATCCTGTCTCTTCTCGTGGACACCCTGGCACTGCCAACAAGGAAACCATTCCCAGATACAGCCCCAGTATCTCGGACCAGAACGGTGAATCAAATCTGCCTCTTTATACCCTTAGCCTGTGGTTTGTTATCCGCAACAGAGAACAGACAAAACTCCTCCTACAGACAAGAGCTACCATGACATAAAGGGAAATGTAAACCAAATTAGTTACGTGTTTAAATCAGGTGCACCCAACACATTTTGACGCCATTTTACGTGCATGTTTACGAACATTTACACACATGTTTTACATAGGCTGACCTACTACTTACTCTAAATGTAGAGGGCACACTTTATACCAAGGCTGCTGCTTGACCCAGAAAAACCCCAGAGACTGAAATCCAACGGAGATGATGATCTGAGACAGAACGGAGAAAAGCAGGGCGCCAGATATGAGACCTGAAGGCGGTCTCTGTGCCACAAGTTCCTTCCAGGCAGGGTTTAAACTCACTGTACCGAAAAGAAAAAGCGAAGGTTTGTATCTAAGTCACCATAAAAGACAGAATGAAGTTAATTTGGAAACTTTAAAAATGTTTTTGTCTAACAATTCTTTAACATGGAAAGCTTTCCAAAATCAAGACAGATGCCATGCACATTTAATCTGTAAAAATAAACAATTTAGGCTTTTCCAAAAAAGCCTCAAGAGTAATACACACATTCCTCTTGAAATGCACAGGAAACACAAAAACACTAAATGTAAGTACAGAAACTATAAAATTCATCACCATGCTTATGTGTTTAATCAAGGATACATTATTTTCTGAATCCTTAACTGTACAAGTGGGTAAAATAATATATACTTTTCCTCTAAAGACACTAAAAACTGTCTGAAGGCAAACATACCAGTAATATAAAAAAAAAAAAAAATCACCAACCATCAAGGTGCTATCCCCTGAACAGTTTGTTTTTCTCTTTGTAATGAATAACTTGTGAAGAGTCACATCAGGACTGTCAAAGCGCTCCTCCTCCAATCTCACTCACTAGGTTCACCATCTACTAAAGGCTATCTCACTCAAGCTTCACAATCAGGGGTGATTCTGTACTCCACGGATGCACGGCAACGTCTGGAGACGCTTCCAGCTGTCACCCATGGAAGACGCTGCTGCAGTCCAATGAGGAAGAGCCAGAGACACTGCTGACACCCTACAATGCCCAGGATGCCGCCCTACAGAGAATCACCTGCCTAAGTTGTGAATAGACCAAGCAAGGTCTCTCTCGGTCTCAGTCCAATAATTCTCTGTTAGCATTTTATCTCACAAATACTTACTTCCATATGAACAGACTGGGGATCTTTGATTCAATGGGCCACACTCTTCTGGAATCATTATTTTGATTCAGTATCACCAATACTAGAAGACACCAACCCTGTGTGCCTTGTTGTGTGACCCATCCACAGGACACAGAGTCACTTCTGTGCTATCCCTAAAAACTTCACTGCCTGAGTCCAGGGAGACTAAGTCAAACCCAACATGTTCATAAACATCACTGTGAAGATGTTCCAAAAGGCTGGGAACTGTTCTAGATAAAAGAGACTGAAGAGACTTGGTAACGAGAGGACGTAAGGGGGCCTGAGTTTTATGCTGTCCTAATCTAGGGGACCAGGAAGAAAACAAGCACAAAGGACACTCTGGGGCAAGTGACAAAACCTGAACAGAGGGCTTTGGACTGGATAATACTGTATCAATGTTTAGTTTCCTGATCTAACTGCACTTACTTTTAGATAATATACACTAAAATATTCAGTGGCACATGGGCATGATGATACCAGACTCACTCTCAAATATTTCAGGGGGAAAAAAACAAAACAATGAGACAAATATAAGTAAAGGTAATAAAAGAATACATTTATGGGGAAGCTGCAGAGACATGAGCTGTGTTACACTGTTAATGTAAATTTACTAAAGTTTAGTACATCACATCAGAATTTCGTATGTAAAATCAGTAACAAAGAAAATTACTCACTTGTAAATACTAGTACCAAAATGATTGCCATGTCAATGAAGAGAAACTGGAAGTCTCCTAGGATACTTAAGCTCTACAGAAATAATTTCAAGATATAGTTACAGGAATGAATTATTTCTACTGTACTGTTAGCTTACACTTTATTTTTTCTCTGTAATATTGACAACTTCAAAAGAACACAAAGTTCTTCAAAAGAACTTGCTTAAAAACTGAAAGGCCTGTGCCTTTGAAATTAATCAAATACATATTCATAAACATTTGACTTCATGTATTAGTACAAAAGGCATCCCCTTAAAAAGGGATCCCAAAAAAATCCACCCAATAATAACCTCTTAAAAGCCAGGTGTGGTAGCATACCCATATAATTCTTTCTTTCTTTCTTTTTTTTTTTTTTTTGGTACTGGGACTTGTACTCAGGAACTTGCACTTTCCAGGCAGGCACTTGTGCCGCTGAGCTATATCCCCAGCCCCTACACCCATATAATTCTATCACTCAGGAAGCTTAGGTAGCAAGATCACCAAGAGTCTGAGGTTCAGCTACATAGTGAGTTCAAGGCCATCCTCAACTACATAGCAAGACATAAAGCAAGTCTTAGATTAAGCAAGTCTAGGAACTACATAACAAGTCTTAACCCCCCTCTTAAAAATCAAACGTGTGTGCCTTAGCATAAGAGCCCCTATCCTACCCCCACCCCCGGTCACAAGGCTGTACTTACAGAATACAGTAGAGTAACACTGGTGTACTGAATGATACTGTACAATGCCATAAACTTAAACACACAGAAGGAAGTCATCAAAGCAGCACGGCCTTCCCTAGGGAGCAAAAGGGTGAATGTGATGGAAAGCATTTCAAACTCTATGTCAAAAACACAATTATATCTTGATAGGCGCACATAAACATTCAACAGCTACCAATGTGCACGTCTACTGAAAGAGCTAAGGAAAACAGTACTCTGTGAATAGTAAGCCACAGCTCAAACGGGCTACTAGTCATTAAAATTTACCCTTGTACGAAGAAATAATGTAAGATACAAAGAAATAATGAAAACAATTTGTGGTACCTGATGAGGTTTGGCACACAGGAAATACTGGGGGTTTTAGAAGTGAAAGGCGATGCCACTGAAGCCTCAAGTTCTGACAAGGAAATGCCTCCGTGTGCTCTCTTCAAAGCCTGAACGTTTCGAGAAAGCTGGGTAAGTTTTGTGAATGTCATTCAGGCTACAGTAAGACATACAGAAATAAATGGCAGGACTATACTTACACCACAATCATTTGCTCCATCACCGCACATCCCAACAAAATAACTAAGGACCAAAATAATTGGAAAGTGTTAATTTCTTGAGCGAAACAGTATCCAAGTTAATAAGACTTCTCCAGTACACATTATGAAGACCTGAGAGACTAAAAGGCTCTGGATGGAACCAACGGACCTTCCCATCACGATGGTCACAGGCATGGTGCTCTGCTAACAGCACTGATCAGAGAGAGTAAACTGGCTGTGTTATGGTCCCATCTATGTCACAGCAAGGGCAAATCATCTTGGCATTGCAATTTCCTACCCTGTAGAGCAAAGGGCTTGTCACTGGATATTCTTTAGCACACTTACTTTTCACGTACTGGTAAGATCGCTCCCTTAAAAATGTCAAACACAGAGGTGTACTGACACTATAAAGTCACTTCTCTCAGGATAGAGAAGGGTCACCTGGAGAAGAAATCAAGGATGTTGTCCTCGAGCTATGAACAAGCACATGAGCCTATTTTAAAAAGGCACTTGAAGTTCTCACCTGCCTCATAAATGACAACATGTCGTGCGTGTGCACGTGTGTTGAAATGTGAAATGCTTGGGACAAGAAGCGTTTCAGACTTTCAGGTTTTTTGGATTCTGGAATAGTTACACAGACTTCAACAGCTGAGCATCCCTCCCTCAAAAATGCCGTATGTGAACTACTCCAAATTCTGTTTCAATACTCCAAGAGTTTCAGATTTTGGGGCATTTCAGAATTTGGGTATTTCGATTAAGGATGCTTGACACAGATGTAAGAAATATTAGCCACTATTCAGTCTGAAGATGAAACAATAATTCAAAGAATACCCCAAAATACAAAATCCACCAATACCTACTCGACATTTTGCAGTGCTTCTACTAACTGCGTCTTCTGGTCAGGCGCCATACGAGCAAACACCGTTCCATGCAACATCAACTGGAAAAAAAATTAATTTCTTAAAAATACTCTCCACAATACACTCACATAAACACATCCATGAGCTCATTCTCACTTACCTTAGGAACTAGATCTTGAAAATGCTCTAGAATCACAGAAAATGATTTTCCATTCATGGCAAAATGGTAACGAGCCAGCTGTAGGTCCTCTAAGCTATCATGAGCTAATTTCATTGGAATCACCTGTGGATGAAGACCTCTACCTATAGTTAGGCAGCCACACATCACACAATCTATGTTAAATACACTTCAAAGCTGAACTGTTTCTTCTGCTATTTTACTCAAGACACTAAAAATTTAACATCTATTCAAAATGAAAATCTTTCTCTTTTTTTGGGGACAGGATGTCACTATGTTGTTCAGGCTGGCCTTGAATTCACTGCAGCCCTCCCTCTTGGGCCTCCTAAGTACTGAGGAAAATCTATTTTTAAAAGTACCTACAATGTTTGTTTAAAAAAAAAAAAAATGCCTGTTTATTAAAAAACAAAAAAGATTAAATGCCATCTTTAATTTGAAGATGCGAAGTTTGAAGTAAACGCAATGGTACCTCAGTTCATGAACTCAAACCTCTCCAAGATTCTGGTTGCAAACCAAACTGGACAAGAACTGAATCACATTTCCCCATAAGGTCAACATTGAACCTCACCACTGGATTTGATTCAGTTCTCATCCAACTCGACCTACAACCAGAATCGTGGAATCAAGCTTGTAAACTGAGCTACCACTGTATGTGGAAGCTTAAGAACCACCTGCATCATTTATTACTAATTACTTAAAAATAGTGTACTTACTGTGTTTTAATGTACCACTTTTAATTTTTTCAGAGTAAATTCAAACAAGCAAGCTTCAAATAAAGTTAAATCTTGGCCTTACCTCTGAATTGATTGCTGATGAATTACTGCACTGGGTTAGGGAGTCTGCATAATGCCAATTTATCTTGGCAACTTTTCCATCCTTCGGGGGCAATGCTTCAGCAATAATAATTTTATCCTGAGGTAGAATCATTCCACAGTCTCTGGCCACGGAAACAGCAGTCAACATATTGTCACCTAATTTTTCAAAATATTTCAATTATATTAAAATTTAAACAGCAATGCAACTGTATCAAACAAGTATTTACCGAGTATCTACAGCAGTCCCTGTAACTGAGCTGGACAGACTAAGAATGATGTATGCTCTTGATCCTGGCCGGTTTTAAACTGACCACATCAGTCAAGGTGCACTGATTAAAGAAAGACTCCTACGGAACAAGTACCCATGTGCTAGGCAACCAGAACACTCCTGTGCACAGACAGAATGCAGGGCAGTGAGCATGGGAGGCAGGCACTATGCTTCACCCTCGGCCCACAACTCATCAATACAAATATGATTTTTCAGGCATGCACTGTTAGCCCCACAATAAATGGCACAGCATGACATACAGAGTAGATGTTAAATCAACATTTGCAGAAATAATCTAGGAGGGAGGGATGGTCTGTATAAGAACACTGGTGCAGTGTGTAACAGAGAAGGATGAATTATGAAACATCATACAAAACAAAATGTTAGGAGAGGTGATCAGAATGGATGTACTGAAAAGCAAGAGAGATAACTTCTCGGTTATGAGAAAAACGAGCCGAAGAGAAGCAAGGACAGAAGTCAGTGGGCAGAGGTTAGGGACCCCATCACTACCATAACTGAAAGATGATTCCCCCCGCACTACTTTCACGGGTGCCTTCCTTCAGCCCCTGGGACACAAAGCCATATCCTGTCATAGCAGAAAAGGAGGAGGGCGAGGAGGAGACATGGATGGAAAGTGCCTTGAAGGAGACGACACTTCTGGGATGCTACCAGATTTAATAACCTTAAACTATATATTAAGAAGTATACTAGATGAATTTCTGAATCTTAACACATAAAATATGTGTAGGCTTTTTCCACATAAGTGTTGATGAACACACAAATGCCATAAAGTGAATAACCTAAATCTAATTACTTGCTATGGAGAAAGAGCTGCCATAATCTCATACAGCTAAGGAATTATCTAACATTACCAACTCTAAGAACATCAGGAGAATCATTTGATGTGGCAGCAAAATAACAAAACAGGCTCCAAACAGGCAATTTTAACCATTACTTACATATTAGTATCTGTGTAACAAATACCTATTAATCATTTTCCATGTACCTGGCAGTTTGTAAAACACCTCAAAATGTTTAACCCATGCCTCTAACCTTCAACTGATTTTATTTTCTAATATAGAAAACAAAACTACAAAATAACACAAATAAGTACTTTCAAGTTACACAAAGATAATGAAGAAGAGCAGAATTTAAATTTTTATAGTGTTCCCTTCAGTATTTTTCATACTTCGTATGAACAGAATTTGTTAGATCTCAAACTACTACATGGTTACCTTGGGCCCCAGGGAAACATTTAGAGCTGAAAAAAGGCAGCATGAGATGGAGCAACTACGTAAAAGCCTTTAAAACTGACATCATTCCTCAACATAACACAACTTGAATTTGAGTCATACTCATTCTTTTCCCGTGTTTTCACAGTATCTAACCTGTGACCATGACAGTGCGAATGTTGGCTTTATGCAAATCTTCAAGTACTGCAGGGGTTTCTTGCTTTAATTTGTTCTGCATTATAATTAATCCCATAAAATCCATGTTGTTTTCAATGGCATCTCTGCAGAAAAAGAAGTTTTAACACATAATGGTTTAGTCAAGAGAACAGTGTTGTTCTCTTTATGCTGACAATTTAAAGTACCTACATACTATGAAGTAAAACAGTTTACATGCTGAATAAACCATGTACGTACTTACAAACTGAACACCTCGAACATTTTTAATCAAAAAAACAATTCCTGAAAGATATTTTATATACTGAAATAAACATCCTTTGAAACATGAAACACGAGGACTATTTGAAAATGTTTACCTTGTAAAATACTAAATTCTAGTACTAACACTGATCTTATACCCAACCCAGAAAAGCATAAGCATATCATTATACTGTCCCTCATAAAATATACCCTAACTTAAATGTTAAGAGAAAGGGGGAAAAAATCTGAGTCACAAACACAGCTCGTAAAATTATAGCAGACTCGTTATCAAGTCTTCACCCACTCTATAAATGATTCTTTTTTTTTAGTTTTTATTTTTTGAGTGAGACAGTGTCTCGCTAGGTGGTCCAGGCTGGCCTCAAACTCCCTCTGATCCTCCTGCTTCAGCTTCTCAAGTGCTAGAATTATAAGTGTGTCCACTACACCCAACTTATGAACAATTTTTGATCCCTGATACATGATACAGAAATTATTACAACAGCAGTACACACAGGAAGAGCTATTCAGGACCCAGGGAAGCATCTTCTAGAATGCTGATAATATAGTTATCCCGGTGGTATTCTTCAAATAGTTGAGCTTACTATGCATTAGCACTGGGCCAATTGCTGGAAGGTCAAAGGTGAAAAGGCACAACTGTCTCCTTTTAAAACACTTCTGTGGTGATGCAGAATACAGCCAAAGAGGTAGGATACATGCAAAAATAACATGTACTTCAACAGTGGAGATGAATTCTGTTCTGTACAGTCACATTCTTATGAAATGTTAAGCTACCAAAAGTATACAATAGAAACTATTTTTTGCAATAGAGAAAAGGGACTTGGGGGCTGGGGATTTAGTTCAGCGGCAAAGCGCCTGCCTGGCAAGTGCAAGGTCGTGAGTTCAGTTCCCGGTACCGGAGAAAAACCAAAAAAAAAAAAAAGAGAGAAAAGGGACTTGATGTTAGCAACTAGAATTTATTTACAATAACCAAGTGATTTCTCTACACAAGATTTAATATAAAGATGCCTGAGTGTACACCTATAAAACCTAAATATCTTTGGAATATAGGTAGTAAAGATATTAAAGAATAGTTAGGGAACTTATAAATGACTGATACTACTGGTGTTAAAAGAAGAAGAAAAGAGAAAAAACAGGAAGTCTGAAATAGTCTTCAAAGCACCACACTACATGCCAAACTACTCCGTCAAAAGCACCAGGCACTGTCCTGTGACATACTAGTTTCTGGATTCTTGATTCTTGGTCTTCTCAATCTCTTACAAATAATACAGGTCATGGAAATCTTGCCCTTCAACTAACGAAGAGAACAATATTCAAGATAGAAAGATTTAAGCTCCAAGAGAAAAGTTAAAATGTATCCCTGAAAAGCAGAACAGCAACACGGAGGCCTCTGGTGGCTGAAGGATGGAATTAGAAAGAAAAAGTAGACTGGCAGGGACAGGGTGCTCTGGCAGAATCGAGTCTAATCAAGGCCACAGAAGGCGTCTGAGAGGCTCAAGAACCACAGGCAAGCCAATCCTCTTTAAGGGGGAAATGGCAAAAGGCAAAGTTACGAGGGAGAAGAGTGCAAGGTGCACTTTGGAGGAATTATGACACATTATACATCTGCAGCTTCCACCCATGTATATGCCACAGATCACAGGGAGAAGTTTTGCATTTGGTTTTTTTTGCAACCCTTAGCAGGAAACCAATGGATACTCTTTTCAGCTTAAAAAATGCAGACTATTACAGGTACACCTCCAAAGGATAGACACGGATCCATTACTCAAAAACAACAATCCCTGAATGTGAAACGTACACTTATGGAAGGAAATGGGATGTCCACAATGCCATCTGAGCAGAGATCAAGAGACATGGGGTAGGAGGAAGAGTGCTGAGTAGTGACCACAACACTGACCAAATCAGTGCCCGGATCCAACCACTGGACAAAAACAAGATAATCTGAGGAAAATAAACTTCTGAAGAACTGTTTACCGTTCCTCCAACATGCATGACACATGTAAGCAGTTGAGAAGTATTTAACAAACTGAAAGTAGTTCCAAAAAGTTGTAAGAGGAAACAGAATTTTCAATAAGCAAGCATATGCAGAAAATCAATATAAAATGAAAAGCTGGAAAATGGGAAAAAATGTACATAATTTTAGCTCAATCATCTAACACAATATTGTATTATATATATATATAGACAGATTCAATAAACACTGAATAAATAACCAAACTCCTGGAGAAGTACCACGCATGTCTTACACAAACACAGACGGTGCGCCCTGGAGAAGCCAGAGGAGCGGGACAGCCGTACCTGCTAATGCTCTGCACTTTATGCCACGTCAGTTTTGACTCTAATTTTCTGTGTGCAAGAGCGATCACACGGAAACCCTGTTTAGTATAATCTTCTAAAACTTTCTCAAAGTCAACAGGAACTAAAAGAAAAAAGGCCATTTCATTGTTAGAACTGCTAACACCAGCAAATGCAAACACCAGCCTTATCCCCAGCCCAACCCCTTCCTGACCTGTGTCGGGTCTGCAGAGGCTGGCAACGACCTCGGGGGCCCCTTTCATGTAGGCGTCCATCTTCTTCTCCCCGAGCACCTTGGCGACCACGCTCATGCGTTGCAGAGCTGAAGCAAACGGGAACTGGCGAACAATTCCTATCTCATAAACAGCCTGCACAAGTTCAGAGCATGCATTATTCTTCAGAAACACAAATGAATATACTTAGGTGATAAGAAAACATTCTTCACTTACTGCAAGTTCAAACAGCTCCTATAAACAAAAGAAGCACATATTAAGTTCATTAATATACTCAAGTTGGAAATCACTTAAGCATCCACGAAGCATTACTTGAAAAACAGCAAGGAACTTTATTATTTCACAGTTAAGATTCAAGATCCCTTCTCTACTACCTCTTATAAAATAAAGTAGGGGGATCTTACTTTCAAAATTTATCTAAAAACAAAGCTTTTCTTATTAAGGCTTATTTCATTATTTTTACTCAATTCTAGGAATATGCAATTTAAAAGACCTGACCATCATATATTTAAGTCATCAGGCGCTAAAAATGCTTAGTAAAGTATAAATCTCAACCTTTAACAAAATTCCCTGTCCCACATCAGAGATACAGTTTCATATAAAGAGCTGAAATAGTCCTTTTTGCATAAGGTTAAATAAAAGACATTCGACTGTTTCCAGCAATATTTCCACACGAAAGCTAAATGCAGGCAAGCATCAACAGCATCACCCAGCATTCCCTGGTACGCACCATTTCTTCGTTTCCTGCTGGTACGGATTCAGGAAGTAGTTGTTTGGGAGGACGAACAACAGTGGGCATAATCTGATTATGAAGTGCTGTTTCTTCTTCAGTTGCTTCTTCCAGGATCTGAAAGGAAAACATTTAACACCTTGCTTCATAAAATTCAACTACTGGTTCCAGTAACCGTAATGGCTATTTTCAGTAAATCTGTTAAAAAGTGCTGTCCAATGAACAAACAAGTACTACTAGATGACTAAGGTAAACAGAGCTAGCTAGCTAGATACCTAGCAACCCACAGGAAAGATGAAACAGTTAAGAAGTAGAATAAAGATACAGAAACAAACATCTCTCATTCTGCTCTCACAAAGTACTGGGTTTAGAGACTAGCTTTGTGAAAAACAAATGGTTCTTGCAGCTCCAAGAATTTTGTCTATCATACAGGGACACCTTTCTGCCAAAAGATTCTACCCTAGTACAAATACTAGGCAAAGAATGGCCTGAGGGTCAGGCTTGATGAAGCACTCCTATAAGCCAGCACTCTAGAAGGCTAGGCAGGAGGACTGTAAGTCTGAGTTCCACACAGACAATTCAGCAAGACCCTGTCCCAAAAAATAAAAACAAAACAAAACAAAAAATGTAACGAAGGGTTAGGATATAGCTCAATGTGAAGGCCATGAACTGAATCCCTAATATTGCACTAGAAAAGCAAGGACGGGAACAGACCAAGACACAAAGACTGAGTTTAGTATTTCAACTTGAACACGTCTAGTAAAGCTACTACTACACCTGAACCCCTTGAAATTTACTTTAATAACCTTGAGAAGGGTGAAAAAATTCCAAAAGGCAGGGGTATACCTCAATGGTAAGAGTACATGGCTAGTGTGTGTTAGGCCCTGGGTTCAATCGCAGGAACAAAAATTATAAAAAAATATTTTTCAAACAAACCCCTATATTAAATACAAAGATTTATAAGAAATACATAAGATAAACAATAAAATCATCTGACTCTGTAACTGGAGGGTTCAAACAATAAAAAAATGAGGGAAACTGTGCCCACATAGCCAATTTTGTAAATTCTAGATGACACTTTCACCCCCCGACACACACTTTAACATCTCCATCTCTGAACCTGGAACGCACCTTCACTCTACACTGCCAATCACATCAGGCAGTCAGAGTGACGCTTGGTTCTGTGAACCCTTCCACTGAAAGGACAAGGACACACCAAAGCACCTCTTGGCCAACGAAACAAAAACTTCCTTATGTAACCATTTTTTTTTAAAGATCAAACACTGCACACTGCTATCTCAATGTTATCTGCAATGAGAATTCGTTTGATTGGAGAAAGTTTAGGAGCTTCAGAGAAAGCCCTATTTTGTTTCTCTTTCTATAAAAGAAGTGGGGCTTCCTTTCAGGAACCACATTTCAGTACCATGAACTATGAATCTTCAGAAGACTGAGAAGAGTATTTAGCTAGTTATCCACTCCTTCCTTTTTAAAAGTCTAACAAAACACAAAAAGTAAACAGCCAAGGAGGGACAGGGCAAGTTTCAAATACGGAAGCACAAGGTGAACTAGACAGTGCTGACTGACAGCCCAGAAGATAAAGAGTGGTGCGGACACACAGGGTTGGGTCCAGGAGGGGCGAGAACTCCTCATGGCAGCTGGCTGAGCTGAGCGCTACAGCGCAGCAGGAGGTCAGGTAGCTTCTTGAGACAGGACACCCCCGGAGGAGCAAGGGCTGCCAGAGCAGAAGCTCTTGCTGAGCAAGCAAGGTGAAGTGGGACTGCAGCCAGCCTGGTGAGGGGACCCCGTGACACACAACCCCTGGGCAACCTCACCACCACCACTCACAATGACCCAATCACACTTTGTACTCAAGTGGGAAAGTACGGTCCAGATATGCAATGAAAACCAATGGCATGAAGGAAAAAGACCAAGAATCAAACAAACAACCAAACAAAAAACTGTGTTGCTAGAAAAAATAAAAACAATGATCACATCTATATAAGAAATGAGCCACACAGTGTCACATGTGTATCACATGTGCCTCTAACTCCAGAATTTTGGAGGTTAAGGCAGGAGGATCACAAATTTGAGGTCAGCCTGGACGATATAAGAAGAGTCTCAAAAAACAATAAAAGAACAAGCAGCAAAAAAGTAATGCCATAAAATGGTAACAGCCAAAGAACTAAGCACGTACAAATTAAAATTACCAGTGGCAGAAATAGAAAGTGCAAATCAAGACACACACGCACGCACGTAAGCAGAACATGGGAACAGAAGAGCCTCAGGATGCAATGCTACTGGCAACTTTTAAGCCACACCAGCCGACTGAGCCATGAAAGGCAGAGGCACTCACTCCGAGTCCACTCTGCATTTCTACACCTTGCATTTCTACACCTCTCTCCAGGACGTACCTGTAGAAATAATCTGCACTTTAACAGTCACAGGACTGATGGTTAACCTTCCTGTGAGATTATTTAATTTTCACTGCACTTTCTTGAAGACCCCTTGCCCGTGAGACACTGAGCTTACCCATCCAATGGCTTCAAACATCTTCAAGTCCAGGGGGTCACCAGAAAGCACTCCTTCAATCTTTGTAAGGGAATGACAAGTAGCCATGCACGCGACAAACTGAGATTTCACCAACATCTCATTGCAAACATTTTCTTCTGGCAAAAGAAATCTAAACAGAAACATACTCCGTTAGGTTCATAAATTCCCAGCAGGCCTCTTTAGACTTTGTAGTTTAAAATAAAAGTAAATTCAAAATTGAGCTTATGAGAAGGGGAAATTTCCATGTATAAAACAAAAGTAGAGGGGAACAAACCCAGAGGGGTGTGAGCTGGGCCGAAGCGATAGCCGCTGGGGAGGAGGAAGGGCAGTGATCACCAGGGCACTCACAGAAAGAGGTTCAAGCTCCTCACAGAGCAGGAAGTAAAGTCTGGCACCTGTGAAATGGGCGCAATGACCAAAGCCCTCACACCCAAGGATGCCAGTGCTCCTGAAGAGCTACACACCATGGGAAAGGAGCCCACTAGTTTACCCATCAACCCCAAAGCACAACTAAGCTTATGCTTGTCTCTTCTACCACCCAAAATTCAAGAGCTAATATTACACTGTCATACTCTCAGCACATTGGAAGGCTGAGGCAGGAGCTTCAAGCCCAGCCTGGGTAACTTGGTGAATCCATGCCTTAAAGAAGTGGCTAGAGATGTATCTCAATACTAAGGCCCTGGGTTCAATTCACAGTATCCCAGAGGGGAGTGGGGCACTATTATCTATGTAGTACATACTATGCCCCAGGCACTGTTCTAAGAATTTCACCTACAGAGACTCATTTCCCCCTCACACCACAGGCAGGGTTTGATTACCCCTGCTACAGACAAGGGGACCAAAGCAGAGCGAGGCAGTAATTTGTCCAGAGTTGCATCACCTGTCAGTAGCTGTGCAAGGACTGAAACACAAGCCTAACTCAGAGCCACCACACTCTACAGCATATGTGGGGACTGAAATACACAGTGCTGCCTGGCTTCCAAATCCCCAGTGATGCTGGACTGGTACTACACCAGTCCTCGACGGGTCCTCAGGCAAGGGAAGAGGAAGCTGTTCTACTGGGGACCCCACAATGCAGCCATGAGGATGGCTCACAGAAAACCCAGCTCAGGTCAGCCTATCGTTTAAAGGCACTCAAAGAAAACCTCGCCAGAATCAACAGACAAAAGGAAGAATCCCAAAGCCATAAACCTGAGATCATAAAGTGGCAACCAAAAGAATGCCAGAAAGTATTTGAAAAAGCACAAGACAGCAAGGGAAGCTGCGGGTAGACTCAGGAAGAACCAAGTGAAGCTGTTCATCCGGCATGTGGTTGGGATGCTCAAATGGAAAAGAAAACAGAGAATGGGGAGCTGTAATGCAAGGGCAGAGGCTGGAAACTCTCCAGAATTCCTGAAAAACGCAAACCCTTGGGATTTAGAAGCAGAGTGAGTCCCATAAGTAATAGAAGAGCATGGCGAAACTGTAGAAATCAAGGACAAACAGACAAGAGAGAAAAGAGATCACTAGAGATTAGGACTTTTCTAGCACTAACAAAAGGTGTCAGGAGAAATGAGTGAACACCTTCCAAGTGCTGAGGAAACACAACCATCAACCTAGAAATCTGTAGTTACACTATCATTGAAGAGTCACAATCAGAGTGGGCATAGCAGTGCATGCCGGTGGTCCTAGCACTTCGAGAGGCTGAGGCAGGAAGATCCAGAGTTCAAGCCCATAGCAGGCAAGTTACTGACTTGGCAAGACCTTGTGTCAAAATAAAATAAAATTATTAAAATTAAAAAGCATGGGGTTAGAGCTTAGTGCAAATGCCCTGGGTTCAATCCCCAGCACCACACCAAAAAAAAAAAAAAAAAAACGGTAAAGTAAAACAAACCTAACAAATGCAGTAGTTAGTAGTTACATAAAATAATTTAATCCACAGGAATGGGATACAAGAAACTATAATTACGGTGTTTATGAACCTAGTAAATCCAAGCACAAAGAATGTATAAAACCAAAATCATAATCATAAAACATACAACAAATGTGTACATTAACAGAGGTGAATAATCAGTAAAATTTACCTATAGTCTATGTTTTTTTGGGTTCAGGAGGCAGTACAGACATCTAAAACTTACGCCCCTGATCATGAATATTAATTTAAGAACACACCCTAAGAGATTAGGATGCATAAATTCTCAGAAAATGCAAGAAAGAATTTAAATTAAACGGAATTTAGGGTAACATGTATCACTGGAATACGTAAGATCACAACATAAATAGAAGACAGAACTCTTGAAATTACACAACCAAATAACAGTCTCTCAACTACATAATCCAAACTCTGGCAGCTTTTTGAGGAGAAAAAAATGGTACAACTACAGCAGTAAAACTTCTGAGCACCAAAGACAATAAAAACAAAGTAAGATGAGCCTGAAATTGGCAGAATAAATCTGCAATATATGGTATCAAAAGAGGTTACAACCCAGAAAGCAGGGGACTTCTAGCAGGTGAAGATGGCAGATAAAGAGGAACCACATAAAAGAAAAAAGTTATAAACAGCACAGAGAATGCTAAGTGACGCTGCTCCAAAAATGTGAAAAGATGCTCAACTTTGTAAGTAATAAAGAGAATACAAATAAAGATGCAATGAAAAAGCCACTTCATACTCATCCACTTGGCAGGAAGTTACGTGCCTGACAATATGTAGCTTGCAGGGAGGATATTTAGCAAGAGGATCTTTGCTCTGGACGGAGAGGACAAACAGGCTCGGCCACCTACAGTTAGGCAAGGGCTGGAAGCAAAGCGGAAGCTGAGCACAGGTGGACACAGTGTACACACTTAGAGGCTGGTGTGCTCATGTCCAGCCACACACGCACAGCTGTAAGGCGTGTAGTCGAGGCACTATTTGTGAAAGCGTAGTGAAAAAAGGAGAAACATGAAAGTGTTCCCAGTATGAAAGATACTATGGTTTCATTATACAATAAAAAACAGAGCAGTTAAAAGTCAGTACGTTAGATCCCTATTCATCAACATGAATGAATCTTGAGGGCAATTCAGAAGGGGAAAAATAGCAAAAACATGTAGCATATCACTTATATATATTTACAGATTGTATATGTTTTGAAAATTAAAAAATGTATGCAAAAATAAAAACTTTAAAATGGTGGCAGGAATAGAGAAAGGGATAGAATGGGACTTTTTGAGCATTTCAATCTTTTAAAAGAAATCTAAAGTAAAGATAGCAAAACATCAACCACTTAGTTTTGGTGGCAGGTACACAACTGTAGTACCTGCTACGTTTGAATATTGCACGCGTAAAACATTAAAAATCAACTGATCAGCATCAAACCTAGCCAATATTTACCGCATATTTTCCACTCGTTGAATCCCCCACAGGTCTAAACCATCTTCAGTAAGAGTTCCAGTCTAAAATAAAAAAGTACACAAGCACCAACTAAGAATAATACGTCAAAGAAGAAAAACTCCAAATGCCACGTATACCCAGTGGAGTACTGCAGGCTGAAAGAAAAGGCAAGGCAAGATCTCCACACACTGAGGGAGAATGACATCCAGGACATACAAAGTATAACTGAAAAATACAGTGAAAGTTTAAATCTTAAAAATTTATTACGACAAAAGTCACTGCCAGGAAAGTTTATTATACTGCTATCTTTTCTCAACTTCTGTGGCTATTTAAATGTTTTAATATAACAAAATTCAAGGGAGCCAGCCAGGCACCACTGTTGCGTATGTGTAATCCCAGCACTCAAGGAGGCTGAGGCAGGAGGATCACAAATTCCAGCCCAGCCTGGCCAACTTAGCAAGACTCTTTCTCAAAATAAAAAGCACAAAAAGAGCTGGGGATGTAGCTTAGTGGTAGAGTGTTCTTGAGTTCAATCTCCCATTATTGCAAAACAAGAAAAAGAAAAAAAAGATTCTAAAGGCTGTGGCTCAGTGGTAGAACATGTGCTTACCACATATACAAGGCTCTGGGTCAATTCCCAGTACTCAAAAAAGAAAAACAAGTTTCCAAAAAAGATAAACATAAATACATTTTGTAAGCAGATGGAACAGTGATGTACTTTTTTTTTCAAACTACACATTTCTCATGTTTTCTGTAATAATAAAATGCTCAAAATCAAATTCTTCTGAGTCACCTAGAAGAGTCTGATGGAAAGCTTTTTAAAAACATACACCTTTGAGCCGGGTGTGGTGGCGCACGCCTATAATCCCAGCACTCGGGAGGCTGAGGCAGGAGGATCGCTGTGAGTTCAAGGCCAGCCTGGGCTACAAAGTGAGCTCAAGTCCAGCCTGAACTGCATAGTGAGACCCTGTCTCAAAAAGACAAAAAATAAAATAAAAATAAAAAATAAAAAAAATAAAGTAAAATAAGTAATTATATATATATCTTCAATAAAATGAAAACGAGCTGGTTAAGATTTCTCAAAAAATCGGACTTTCAGAAAAATCTAATTTCACTCCAGCAAAGAAGAAACCTTTGTTAAGAGGCAAGAAGGTCGGGGCTGGGGATTTAGCTCAGCGGCACAGCGCCTGCCCGGCAAGCGCACAGTCATGAGTTCGATTCTTGATACTGGAGAAAAACCAAAAAAAAAAAAAAAAAAGAGGCAAGAAGGTGTATTTCACATAGGTACACAATTCTTTTCATATAAAATCACTGATATTTATGAAACATACTGTTTAGTCAAACTCATGGCACAAACACTAAAAGCACATATTTTTGAGCAAAAAAAAAAAACAACACAACATTACATATATATATATATATCCAATTCTATTAAACTAGGATTATCTGAAAACAGAAAAAAACATGTAATTTTTGCCATTATTACTACAACAAGATATAATTCTGGATACAAGCAATTAGTCAACTACAGACATATGCCAAATAACCAATACCCAAAAACTTAAAAACTGAGAAAACAAAGAATATTTTTTAAATCATGGATAAGCTAAATAAGCTGAGGAAGAAGAAAATTAGAGAAACATTAAAGAATAATGGCAAGTCAGTTAAGAAAATAAAAAATAGTATTTAAATGCTACACGGCAAGTGACCTTTGAGAATAATTATGAAACCGAACCAACCTTGTCGAAACAAACAAGATTCAGCTGCCCACATATATTTATCCTTTGGGGGCTGATACAGAAAATACCAACTGTCTTCAGTCTCCTCTGAGCATACACAATTCCAGCAGTCATGGCAGCAGGAAGTGCAGGGGGCACAGTAATTGTAATGATGTCAAGAGACTCAGTAATTATTCTCCCAACTTCTACCTACAGTTGACACAAAATAAATGTCAAGCCCCTACTGTTAAATATTCACTAACTTAAAGCCAGATGTGGTGGCACAGCCTGTAACCTCAGCACTTGAAAGACCAAGGCAGGAGGATCATTGTGAGTTCAAAGCCAGACTGGGCTACACAGTGAGTTCAAAGCCAGCCTGAAATACACAAGACCCTATCACACAAAGCCAAAGATAAATGAATACATGAAGATTTACTAATTTAGCATGGGTATTTCTTTAGCGAAAATTTATAAACATTTAAAATCTCATGTGGGGCCGGGGATATAACTCAGTGGCACAAGCGCCTGTCTGGCAAGTGCAAGGTCCTGAGTTTGATTCCTGGTACCAAAAAAAAAAAAAAATTTAAAATCTCATGTTCAACCATACACACACATAAGCATATATGCATAGATGAGCATACATATATATACATCTATTAATGGTTTATAATTTTTTTTTCCTTCTGAGATCCTACAAAATAGCTAAATGAATTATTAAATGGATTATAGAATGACAGAGGAAACTTCTGCCAAGAAGACAAACACCTCTTATTCTTCACACACGCCATACTTCAAACCAAGTGCAACAAACTTTTTCAGATACTGACACATTCTGCAAATACTATACTGCACCAGTCTCCACAGGGAACAGAAAAGAGAAATTTGCTAGGTACAGTGGTGCCCGCTTGTAATCCGTTACCCAGGAGGCTGAGGCAGAAAGATCTCAAGATTAAGGCCAGCCTGGGCAACTTTATGAGACTGTCTCAAAATAAAATGAAAAAGAGTTTGTGACACAGTGCAATGGTAGAGCACTTGCCTGGTACGCATGAGACCCTGGGCTCAATTCCTAGTATCACAAAAAGGAAGAGGAAATGAAGGAGGAAGGGATCTGACAATGTACCTTAGTAGCCCTTCGCAAACTGTTCAAAAACAATTTGTTGCTGTATATTCTATCCCAAAGGGAAACAAGCAAAATTTTGGTGTGCATGCAGTTTTTTCTGTTTTTCCTTTAAGTCTCAAAAAGGTACATAGAAGACCATCTAAATCAGACCTATCTGGGGCTGGGGATTTAGCTCAGTGGCACAGCACCTGCCTGGCAAGCGCAATGTGGTGAGTTCGATTCCCAGTACTGGAAAATAAAACCAAAAAAAAAAAAAAAAAAAAAAAAAAAAAAAAAAAAAAAAAAAAAAAACCAGACCTATCTAAAACACCATATACTAAGATGGAGATGTTCTGTATCCGTGTTTCATAATTTAATAGCTACTAGTGTCATACGGCATCCTCGGAGAAATCAGAATTAGCCTAAAAATGTAGTTCCTCAGTTTCACTCACTACATTTCAAAATCCTCAACAGCCACACATGATATATACATACCTCATTTAAAATGTTATTGATAATTGTGTAGATGAACCCAATGCCAGCCACGCCCACAAGACACAGCAGAAACATGTAGGCATCTCTGTAGAGTTTAAAATCAGTTGGCTTGGGATACAGTATGGAACGGACAAGCTGTCCTTTGGAAGTACTAAATCCTTTCAAAAAATTAAAGAGAAAAGTTACTTATATTTTTTATAATGAAATGAGAATTATCTCTCAAAACACTTATTATTTTACACATTCAGTATCAAACACGTGCTTAAAAAATGTAAGAGATGAAATATTTACCTTGTGACCATAATGCTAAGTGAAATACCTCAGACACAGAAGGTTAAACATGGCATGGTTTCTCTTACACAAGAATCCCAGGATACAAATATTTAAAAAGCAAAAGATGGATGACAGGAAGCAGGGAGACAGGCTACGTGGAGATGGGCAGGGGCCCGGGGTGGACAGGAGGAGAGCAGAGGGAACAGCGGTAAGAAGGACTGCGATGAGATGCGTGCGCACCACTTCCCCACACGGACACGTTCGTTGTGCAATATGCCCTACCTGTTCTAACCACAATGGCTTTCACAAGTTCTCCAGTGTAGAAACGAGTCTGGATTACAGTTGTTCCACAGAACAGAGTATGCCGCTTATGTGTTTCTGGACTATAGTATTCCTCCCCTGTGCCTTTTACATTTACTGAAGGATTTGGCAAATTAGTCTTTGTCACCGGAACACTTTCTCCTATTAAAAAAAAAAAAAAAACATACAATTATTATAGGGAAGCACAGAAATCAGTACCAAACAAAAAGACCCTGAATTATGGAATATCTGAATGTTATAGTCTACATGCATTATTCCAGCACTTGGAAGCCTGAAGCAGGAGGATTGCTGCGAGTTCAAGGCTAGCCTGGGCTATATAGCAAGACCCTATCTCAAAAAACTAAAGCTGAGCCAGGCATGGTGGCGCATGCCTGTAATCCCAGCACTTGGGAGGCTGAGGCAGGAGGATTATTGCGAGTTCAAGATCAGTGTGGGCTACAAAGTGAGCACAAGGCCATCCTGAACTGCATAGTAAGATCCTGTCTCAAAAAGACAAAAAAAAATTTACAGTATTATTTACCATAATTATTAAGAGTTCTACATGTACAGCCAGGCATGGTGGCACATGCCTGTAATCCCATAGCAAGACCCTGCCCCAAAATAGAGTTCTACAAGTACATGACATAATAAGTCAACTAGCTATTTTACCTTCCAACTGGTTCACCCGGAAATGCCACATTTTGCCCGCACAATAATTACAGGAAGTGATTTGTGATGCCTGTCACCAGGCATCATGGTGCACACCTGTAATCCCAGCTACTCAGAAGCCTAAAGAAGGAAGTGTCCAAGTTCCAAGCCAGCCTGGCAACTTCAACTCCATCTCAAAATTGAGAAAAAAAAAAGAAAAAGAAGGAAATGCAAGGAGGGAAAGAGAAAAAGGTCTCAGAGTATAGCCCTGTGCTCCCTGGATTCGATCAGCAAGCCTCTCCCTGCCACCGCCCCTAAAAAACAGATTGTGAATTTGCACAGGGAAGTCATTTGAAAGTCTAGTTCTCTCCAATTTAATGAAAATACAAAATCCTTATTTATTTCCACTGTTTACACAACAAGTAGGGAAGCAAACATTCTGTATTCTCCATGACAAAGAACTTCTTCCTTCTTTCCTTACTACAACACCATTTCTTCATGCCCAAAGTAGCAGAGACAGATAGGGTCAGGCGGCCAAACCCAACTACATAGGACGTAGCATCACCCTAATCCAGGACAAAACCAATCTCCAAAAGCCAATAAAGGATATAAATGACAGACTAATTTTGACAGCATTTTATCAGTAACTACTTAATGTTATGTATTTATTATGAGCAACAAGAGGCCGTCTGCTCAGTTTCACTTACCTGTTAACATGTTCTCATTCACAATGCAAGTGCCACTAATAAGAACCGCATCACAGGGCATGACGGTCCCGTTCAGGGGAATGACAATGACATCTCCCGGCACAAGGTCGGTAGAGAAGATTTCTTCTATTTCTGAATGTAAAGAACGAAAACATGAGAACAGTGTTCACTAAGTCGGGAACAAAGCATCTATGCAAAGGACTCCTCATCTCTATGAATGAATAACAGAATAGGGTTAATATGAAAGTCCCTACCGATGGAGAATTCTGACAAGGAGTATTAGGTAACAAGGCTCAGGACAGAACTAGGTTCCTAATGAGCACGAGTGGTCCCACATCCCTCTGCACGTCAATGCTCCTGACAACTCCACTGAGCTCAGTCATCAGTCAGCTCACAAAATAAAACACTGTGGGTCCCAACGGCCCACTCTGTTCAAACAGGCAAAATAAACTCAGGTTTCTGTAAAGCCATGGAAACCGAAGGAAACCTGGAAAATTTTAGCATATTTGCTTTTCAACAGTGTATTTACAATATTATTCTCCTGTCACTATTTATAACCCTAACATCTCACTGATTTCTCAATATTCCTTAGGTTGCCAGGCGTAGTGGCGCACACCTATAATCCCAGCACTCGGGAGGCTAAGGCAGGAGGATCATTGATAGTTCAAGGCCAGCCTGAACTGCATAGCGAGATCCTGTCTTAAAAAAAGACCAAAAACAAAACAAAAAAACCTCAATATTCCTTAAGTTTTTTTTAAAGATATTATTTTCAGTATGACTGTATTTATTAAGTAGGGCTGGGTCTGCAGCTCAGTAGTAGAGCACTTTCCCAGTATGTGTGAGGCCCTGGGTTCCATGCTCAGCACCACAAAATCCACACATGTATTAAATAAATGAAACACTGCTATATCTCCCTGGAAATTTAACTAAAACTTTAAAAATATCTCAGGGATAAAAGGCTTTCCTTGGCGGGCGTGGTGGCGCACACCTGTAATCCCAGCACTCTGGAGGTTGAAGTAGGAGGACTGCTATGTGTTGGAGGCCAGCCTGGGCTACATATTGAGCCCAAGGCCAGCCTGAACTGCACAGTGAGACCCTGTCTTAAAAAAAAAAAAGAAAAGGCGGGGGGTGCTTTTCTTTCAGGTTACCTTCTATTTAGGCATTGTCTCTCTTCCTCACTCTTCTCCCCCTTGGGTTTAACTAATGCTGCTCTGAGAAGAGTTACATTCGTTTGTAAACACGTATGTGAGGAAAAAACTGGTTTTTTGTGCTGCTGGTCTGAAGGACAAATACTTTCCTATCTATGAAAAAGAAGGAACCTACTAAATATTAATCAAATAACTTTAATTAGCAATGTTTAAAATATTGGTATACTAATCTTAAAATAAAATCTTTATTTTAAAATACACTGATTGACTTTTCTTAACGCTTTATTTAGCAGTACCTGAAATTCTACCTCTTTTCAGTAGACCAGAAAAAGATGTATGAAGGGGATGGAAAACTTCATACAGAGGGCAAGAAGAGAAAGGGAAGAACATATCCTTCCCACCGCCCCAGCATCTTCAGCACCGTGGAGCAGCCGGAGGCAGCGCCCAACCCCAAGACTGCAGCGGGGGTGCGCATCCCCCCAGCCGGACGGAGGAGCGGGAGGAAGCAGGGAGAAGGACAAGCACATGCACATGGGAGACTGGGATTGTGGAGAGATGACTCAGCTCCTGCCTCTGCGGCTCAGGATGCTGCGCTGTGTCCCTCTGTGTCTCCTGCACGCTCCCCCAACCTCATGTCCAAAACATCTCCCTTCCTGAAACCCTGCTTTCTCCCACTGCTCTCTACGTAACCAAGAGGCACTGACAACGACCCCAGCATGCCCCCGCCATGACCTCACACTCGCCATGACCTCACACTCGTTGATGGCCAGGCGCCACGCACGCCCCTGGCTGTCTCTCCTTCCCCATCGCATTCTCTTGTTCTCCACAACCCCCATCCTGACAGAGCTCAGGCTTCAGCATCACTCCCATGAAACCCGTCACAACATGGGAGCCATGATTCTCTGCCAAGGGACAGATACGATCCTATCAGTTCCATGCCTCACACCCTCCAATGGCTTTCCACTGCTTCTTGGGTTGAGAGTAACTTCCTTACTAGCCCTTGTCCATCATCCATGCAGCTGCTGTAGGTGCCATGCTGAATTTCTGTCAGTTTTTATAATGACTGCACCATCTATCTCTAATTTCAGGTCTCTGGACACTTAGAACGCTCTTCTCACTCTAACTATCCCTCTCATCTAACTCTGATCCGGCTAATTCAAATAGTAACCAAGTAAAATTACTTCATCAAAACAGCCATCTCTGGCCTCTTTTTTAAAGGCCTGCAGTTCATTTTGAGTGTGTACTTTAAATCCTAATAAATCTTTTATGCATCTTTTAAAAAAAAAAATCCATCCCTGACCACACAGCAGATAAGCTTTCTATAGTATGTAAGTTCTCTCCCTAACATCACATTCACTGTACTTTTTTGGTACTGTTTATTGTCTGTCCTTCTGGCAAGACCAAAAAAGAAAGAAGCTGGGTATGGCAGTGCATGGCTATAATCACAATACTCTGTGAGCCTGAGACAGGAGGATCCCAAGTTCAAGACTAGCTGGAGCAATGAAGTTAGACCCTGTCTCAAAATAAAAAATGGCTGGACATAGAGCTAGATGCAAAGCCTCTGGTTTCAATCCCCAGTACTGCAAAAAATTAAATGCAACGACAGACAGACAGACAGACAAAGAAAGAGAGAATGAGTAAAATTTTATATAAATGAGTGTTTTTGATAAAAACTTGGGACTCCAAACATGCACTTTCATTTCTTAAATGAGCATATGTGTGTGAGTGTGTGTGTGTGTGTGTGTGTAAATAAATGCACTGGGCTCACTTCACACAACAGCACTTAATGGTTTAGAGGTTCTAGGTTACACTGTTGGAACACTCACCAACGTACTTACCTTCATTTACTCTGCAAACTGAAACTCTCACGGTACTATGAGTTGCCACCATGTCATGCAACATAACATATTGCTAAAAAAGGGGGAAGAAAAACCAAACAAGCCAGATGAACCCACTCCTCAAGACCCTGAAATGCAGGGTGCTAGAAAATAAAGCACACTAATATAGTAAGTGCCCACTGTTCTGCCTTTACACAATATCAAGAGTCAAAAGGATTATTCACTGTTTTAGCTCAGAATGGAACGAGAAGCAGTTTGAGAAGACCCTGGAAACAGGGAACCTGCTTGTGCTACAGCCTGTGACAAGCAAATCCAGGCCCCTCCACTTCGAAGCAGACAGTCAGAGAGCTGACCCTAGAAGACATCTGTCTCCCCCAACTAAAACAGCAGAAAGAGACAGGAGTCTACATTTAGGCAGGTAAAACAGTACCAGCCCTGAATGCTTACTCCGTGTCCATCACTACTCCACACACCTCACACTATTATAGAAAATGAACACTGTCTGAAGCCCATAACAAACTGACTTACCTTTCTAATGGAATATAGTGAAGTTACAATGGATACCAGGGACATAACCACGATGGCTAAAGCATAGTAGTAGTAGTCATCAGTGCTCCACAATATAACACTAAACAGCTGGAAAATGTAAAATGGGTTCAGAACCTGAAAAATATAAATTTAAGTCAAATTAAATGAGGTATTTACAACGTGCAGATTCTTCACATTTTTCACTTGAAAAGTAACCAACCAGCCACAAATATGATAAGCTCTATAGTAACCTGGGACAACATGCACCGTGAAGAACAGGAGAAGAACTACTAGAATTTGGCTAACCCAGATTTAAAGTTTCTGTACCCATCTAGATTTATACCAACCCTAAACACAGACTCAGCTAGACAAGTGTGAATTTACCTGTTCTGTTTTAGGAATAAAGTGCATTTATTTGCACTGATTAGTATGCTCTGGATTAATGAAAGATATCAAACTTTTAACCAAAAAGGACAAATGCTTACTTATGAAATCAAAACAGAAATGTGTAGCAGAAGTTCAGTGGGCTGCAAAGGAAAGACAAATACAAGCTAATGGGCCACACTGTTTTGCTCTGTCAACAGAAAGCAGTAAGGACTACATCCTGAGTGAAAATAAGATAAGGGGCCCTGACAAAGGACATCATTTACCCACATTTCAATGTAATTCATTAACTTCATTAATAAACCCCCAATATCTCTTTTAAAAAATTTGTTTATTTGGAGGGAGAGGCAGTAAATGAGATTAAACCCAGGGCCCCATACATGTTAATCACATCTCCTGTACCCTCCCCTCAGTCTTGAAATTGAAGCTTCTATACTTTTCCAAAGCATTTTGACGTAGCACCATTTTACCTCAAAATTAAATGAGATATTTAGAAAATTTGCCGGGCGTGGTGGCACATGCCTGTAATCCCAGCACTCAGGAGGCTGAGGCAGGAGGATCATAGCGAGTTTGAGGCCAGCCTGGGCTACAAAGTGAGCTCAAGACCAGCCTGAACTGCTTAGCAAGACACTGTCTCAAAAAAAGACCAAAAAAAAAAAAGAGAAAAGAAAGAAAATTTTTGTAAGCGTACAAATAAAAGAGCAACAGAAAAAGGTGCTTGAGCAGGGGGTACTAGTGACGGAACCCAGGGTCTTCACGCTGACCTACATCCCCAGTTTATTTTTTTGAGGTAAGGTCTCACTAAATCGGTTATTTGTCCAGGCTGGCCTTGAACTTGTGAGTCCCTAACCCTAGAATGCTGGAATTATGGGCATGCGGTACCAAACCCAGCCAGAGAAAGGGTTTCTGAAGGTCAAAGCTGGCTACTAGGATGGCAGTGTATGTGAGTTTGAGGGGCTGAGAGAAAGGGACGCACACTCATGCCTGCATATTCAAGGCATTGGTTTCAATCCCCAGCTTTGAGAAAAAAGAAAAAAGACCCAAGTGGTCACTGATGGGACCATACTACAAATTAGGCTTTCCCAGTTCCTCATCATTACACTGTGCTATGTAATGCACACATTACAATGGCCACTCTAAAGAAACCTATTTTTTCTCCTACAGGTATTCACCTATTACAATTACACTTAGCCCCAGAATGATAGCCAAACTCAGGCACAAGGACTGGCCAGCTGTTGTCGCTATGTAAAGTCACTTGCTCTCTTCCCCGCCGTCCCTGGAATCCTTCATTCACCTCTCTGGCACTGAACAGCTGAATGCTCACCGCGCTACTTCCCCACATCATCGCATCACGCTTCATACTCTTTCACTTTCTAAGGCTCACTACTGTCCAGCAAGGAAGGAGCCCAGAACACTAGAGGAAGAAAACATGACACACTGGGGGGGACTAATACAAACAGAACTAGACAAAATAAAATTCATACCCAAAATTCCCTTGCAGAGCAAATTTTTTCTCTACTTTTACTCACAGCAAGCAAAGAGAAGTTAGGAAAGACAAAACCAAGACTATTTCATTAACCATGACTTTCCAAATTGACAAATCTATTGATGCCAGATGCTGAGCTATATACAACAGTCTTACCTCTTTAATTAGAAGCTTAAAAACAGAAGGCACTTTCACAGTGATTTCATTTATTCCATAAAGCAGTTTTCTATAACAGGAAAATACAGTAACGGTATTTCAGTATATAATGTAAAACAGCACGATTTAGGAAAGGCATTGCATTAGGTAAGTTCAGACCACGGGATGCTCTTAAACTCATGCGTTCCACACTTGAAACTCTTCTCTACCTACTGTATCTAAATTGAAGAAGTCAGCAATAGATAACTGTACTGTTTGCATTTGATTTCATTCTGTCTCACACCTTTAGTGAGTGACATGTACCTTTCCCACTAGTTAATAACCATGTAAGCAAAAGGCTGTCTGTTCCACCCATGAACAAAACAAGTTTTCACAACGTTTGAATGTCAACTTTGAAAGAGAAATAAATGTGAGGAATTCCTATACTACTTTCGAAGAAGAACCCTGTACTAAGAGTGTATTTCAGAAGACTGTACGTTTGACATTTAGGAAAACTATGCTTTTCAACCTCTGCTTAGCTGAGCGTGGTGGTACTACTGCCTGTAAGCCCAATATTCCCAGAGGTTGACACAGGACGAGCTCAAGTTCAAGCCCAGCCTGGGCATCATAAAAAACAAAACATGCTGGGGATCCATGTCAGTGCAAACACCCTAGTTTCAACCCCCAATACTGTCAAAAAGAAAAAGACAGTTCATTCCTCATCATTGTACCATCTATTGTATCTATTATGATACAATAATTTCTCCTTTTACAGAATGTAAGTCTGAATGGGTCCTTTTGTTGTACCTCTAAAAGATTATGCTAGAAATATTACAAGAAAAATTCTAATTTAATCCAAAACTGGCATTCATCTTTAAAATATCTAATATACTGGCATACTTTTATGCTTTAACAAAAAATAACAATGAAATAAATACGATTCCCAATTGACAAATTTTCATTGTGGTAAATCTAAAGTCATGCCTACAGTCCCAATATATCTCAAAACAATCTAAGATGTTATTAGTTTACAAGACATACCACTATTTTATGTATGACCAAAAATATAAAAACTTTTGTCGAGCAAATAATAATACTCCACCAACTATACACCACATCCCAATTTCAAAGGTATTAAATTATAGGAGACTGTGCACCTTTCAAAGTAATGAAACAGTATGGGATTTCAGAGACAGCAACTTCAATAATTAGCTTTAACATTTTCATGATTAAACCGGAGACAGTTTTGAGTAAAAAAATCAGTTCTCAAATCATCTGTAGTATTTAAAAGCTGTTAACAAGTACTATATGGTAAAGGGATGACTACATATACGTCTGAATTTAGGAACTTCAAGAACAGATCTAACTTTAGTTGGATAAAAGTTACCTGTAGGCATGCATCCCCTTTGTCAGTCCTGCACTATGCTTTTCATAAATTGACGTACAAGAAACACCTTCATCCAGTCCCCTAAATAAATCCAAAGTTTTTACTTTAAACAAAGTTTAAGATATCCAAATGTCTTAATGCCTCATTTCTCTATATGCCTGATTTTAGAAATGTAACTTCCTTACAAACTTCTTAGAAACTTTTAACAAAAATTTAGAAAGAATGAGAATTTTTATTTAAACTCTCAAATTCTTAAGATAAACATTATTAAGTGGTATAATATCAGTATGTAATACAACAAGCACTGTTAATTTCCTACCACTTTGTAACTCCGTATTGTCTCTATTGTTCTTTTGCTATTTTGTAAAAGGTTGTCTGTTAATGTTTTCCTCCTTTTATTTTTAAAATTAAAAAAATAAATAAATAAATAAATCTCAAACATGACAACTAAGTTATCCAATGCATTCCATGGTAAGAGGGCTCTACATACTCAAGTTTAGGTAATATCGTTATCCTTTAAGGCTATGCCAGAGTTGTAAGAGCCAATAATTAAACAACAGTTTACAGTAAAGCACAATTAACCTGACAACTCCGAAGTAAAGACAAAAAAATTTGACTTCTTATCTACATAGTTTATCCTTTGCAATTTTAGCTTCACACTAAAAAGTCCTATTCATTTGCATCCGTCTCCACAAAGCACCAATCCTAATCCTTCCCTGAGCCAGGGCAGACCTAGGTGAGAAGCACAGAATTTGTGAGTCAGATAATGCCGGGCACCTCTAACCAGCCTAACCAGGACCCAACTAACATATCTGCTTCCCCCCCCCAGTTGTCTGAAGAATGCTTATTTTAACTGATACTGGTCATAGAACTGTAAAACAGAGAATCTTATACATACTTCAGTTCAACACTTCTCTACTTTTCTCAGATATGAGGGCTAAGCTTCATGCTTCACTGCTACAAGTTTCTGTGGCTTACAGAGACCACAGCAAATGTTTGATACTTTTCCTCCCACTGAAGTAGATGAATTGTTCAGCAGGGAACAAGGACCAGAATCATATTTTAAACACAATGGAAGCCCACTGGCAATTTTCTTTAAAACAACGGTTCCCACTTAATCAGAAAGGGTCTTTAGAACTAGGTATCTGCAAATGCCCAGGCCCATTTCAGAATATTCCCATTCTTCTGTGTATCTGAGGGAAAATAAAGGCATTGCTATTTTAACAATTCATGAATCTTAAAAGCTGTTACAATTAAGAACTCCTATAGCTCTAGAGCTGATATTTAATGAATGATTATAATAACTATTTTAACAACAGCAATAAAAATAGAATTCTAGGGAGGCTAACGCAGAAAGATCACATGAGCCCAAGAGTTAAGGGCCAGTCTGGGTGAAATACCAAGACTCTATTTCTTTAAACAAAAAAAAAAAGAAAGAGAAAATTTTAATCCCAATTTGATAACATTGCTTGACCTATAAAAACATTTTAAAGGGTTACTCCAATTTTCCTATCCAAAGGCTTTAGACATTCAACAATGTCTCATTCTTTATCCACACAGTAAAATTAAATTTGCTTGTCTATTACCTGATTCTTCATATACCAGTACAACTGGATGGGACTGTCAACAGATTACAAAGCAGTACCTCAGATATTAAGAGTCAAAACACAGGGCATGGAAGTGCAGTTCAGTGGTAGGGCACCTTCTTAGCATGCTAGTGCCCTAGGTTTGATCCCCAGTACCACACATGCAAAGCCTAAGTTAAAACATAGGTTATCCTTTCATGTTAAGGTGAAAAAGAACTCAGAACTGGAAGGATTTTTACATCATACAGCTTGTAACTTTTAAGTAAACTTTGCCAGGGTACAACTTGTAGGGAGTACTTGTTTTTAAATGGTTACATTAGTCTTCAAAGAGTGGTGGAGTTTTTAATGAACAAATGAATACAAGTTGTACAATAAAAGCCTCTTCAATATTATGTAACACTAATGGATTCTTTTTTATTTAAGAATAGATTCTTTTCTACCTATATTTTCAAAATACAATCCAAGAAAAAGAAAGATACTTACCTTAAGAAATCAAAATTGTGAATGGTATCATCCCAGAAATACTTTACACTATGGTGGGTGAAATAACGAATCTGCAGAATATACAAAAAGGTTACATCAAAGCACTTGTCATTACTTAGGATAGCATGTAATCTGCTTATACTACTAACAACTAAACTTGTGTTTAGTAATAGTACTACACACACATAAATTTACCTCAAGTAATAACTGCAGCAAAATTAGAAGATTTATATGCTACTAGTAAATGTTAACAATCCTGGTTTTTTAAAGACACTTTGACACTAGATCCAATACCTGATGAGAATGAGTCTGTAAATATTTACTCGGCTCGTGTCGATTCCCTCCAGCTGGATTGTCAGTTAGATGAACTCCATGGCCATTGCAAACCTCACTAACTATGGATTTGGGATTTGAAAATGAGTCACTCTCCAAACAAAGAAAGCGAATTTTTGCACAAAACCACATTCTGAATTCATCCTTAAAAGAGAAAAAAAGGGTAGAGTCAATTACAATACTATGTAATTGGCTATATTTTTATTTAATTTCTATTCTTTATATACTCATCTCTAATTGAGAAAACATC